TTTCATAAGCTGTGGTGTTCTAGCCTTCCCTCTAAGAATGCTAAAAGTTTGCAACAAATGGATCACATAACATAATCAAAGATCCACACAACTCATGAACGTATATAAAACGTAGTATTTTAAATACTTTTAGAGTATTTTTCATTTTCAAAAAAATAAAAAATGAAAGCACTTCAAAATAATAACTCTCACTAGTCAAACACCACTTAATAAATATTCTTGATTTTATATAAAAAGATTAAAATTTAATCTACTTAAAAAAAATATTTTTAACACTTTTTTACAAATTTATTTTAAGCATTAAATACAAAAAAAAAATTAACTATACAAAAATTAATTTAATTATATTGAAAATCAAGAATAATTCATGGACCAATTTGTATTTTTTAAATTTCAATCTGGTCCTGCACCTGCCCTCTAAAAATTTTCAAAATGACGAACCCCCAAGCATAGACGATACACGTGCCACACCATCATCAAATTTTTTTTTATTTTAATTGGTCATTCCAACTAATTTCGACGTTCTAAATTCGTCTAAGTGGTCAGAATTTACAAAATTAATCTTTAAGGCCACATTTGAGATATCAATAGATCTGTCTGAGATTGGAAATAACAAAAAAAAAAAAATTATGCAAAATTTTCAACTTTCGAGATGTCATAACTTCTTCATTTCAAGAACAAAATTGATGACATTTATAACATTGAAAATATATCGAGAGATCAATCCAATCATGCCAAATGGAAAGTATGAACATGCTATAGAAAGAATTATCATGTGATGAAATTTTGAATTTTATCAATTTTCGTGCTAAAATACAAATTTTCATTCAAATTTCAAAACCTCATAACTTCTTCATTTAAGTAAAAAATTTAAGTTCTTTTTAAGGTTGGAAAGTTTGTTGAAATAACTTTCTAACCATATGAATATTGCTACACAAACATTATCGAATAAAATACAATAAAATTTAAAGTTTCTGGAAAATTGACTAAGGTTTCAATTTTCTCCCAAATGCAATAGCAAAAATTGATAAAACAATTTTGGTGAATTTTAAAGCATATTATATACACAATTGCAAAATTTTGTTAATTTTAGACATGCATATCAAATGATGCCATTAAAGATCACATAAAGTTTCAAAACATTCAAAACTTTACATACAAGATTCATAACTCAATTAAATCATGTATTGACATATTTAAGTATATATTACAGCAAGGAATTCAACCTTACGTATCTAATTCCAATGTAATAATTCGTAAAATTTATAATTTTTTTTTCTAGGCAAGAATTCTTGAAATGATGAATTTTAAGATCTTTTGAATGGTTGAGTAACCTTGCTTTTCAAAACCCCAAATCTGCAATTTTCGTGCACTCCAATTATCCCAATCCCGATCACAACGGAAGGAAATTATTAGTTACAATATAAGTGCTAATTTTTGTGAATTTTTATAACAAAATAGTGGTTATAGATGCCTTTTAATTTTGGTGATATTTTTCATATAAATTTCACCATATTTCAATATGTTTTTCTCTCCTTTTTCATAACACGATGAATTTGACGTTATGTGAGGAGTTATTGGAGGTTATGAGGGAGTTGTAGGTTTGAATTCCAAGTTCAAACCATTCCCTCTAGCCCACTTTATCTATATTTTTATGTATATATAATTTTATTTTCTTAAATAACATAATAAACTCCCAACCATGGATTGAATTCTTCTAAAAATCACTCAAACCGGATGTATTTCATAAACATTCAAAATAGTACTTATAAAAAAAAATTTTAAAAAAAAATCGTTATCGGTACCTAAAACTCTCAAGCAGGCCTTTAGAGGGCACAGTGGTTGATTTTCAATTAAAGCAATCCGTAGAATTAGGAGAAAAAATTATGCATAATAAAATAGGGGTGTACACTACTGAGATTTTAATAAATTTTAAAGTCCTTGCAAACTTAAATGTAACAATTGAGATTTTAATAATTATATATAAATTCATTAATATCTAGATGTCACCAACTAAGATTTTAATGGATTTAATGAATTTCATTTAAAAAATTTAAAATCTAGATGTCCCAATAACTAGTAGGTTTAGAAGAATTTCATTAACAAATGAATTTATAAAATGTGGATGTATTTCATGTTTCAAAATACACAGAACAAACTATTTTAAAATTTCATTTTTTTAATGAGGTTGTTACGAAATATGTAGAAATCTATTCATATACAGGAAATTCATTTTTATTTACAATTTTTTGAAAATTCATTAAAATTTCTATTGAAGACAATATCAAATAAAATTTAAAAAAGAGAGACATATCAAATAGTTTTCTTATTAGCTATATGGAGATATATTTGGTCTAATATTAAAAACTTTAAAATGTCTTACTTTAATTAATTAATTAATTAATTTATTATTTATTATTTATTTATTTTTTTGCAAAACTCAAGTCTCTTTAGTCTTAATTACTTAATGAAATGCAAAATGGTGAGCTTGGTTTTGAAATATGATTTTTTTTCTAATTTTATGTGTTAATATATATTTAATTATTTTAAGTGAGATTTATTTGTACTTTTAAAAAAGTTATAGGACCTCATTTACATTTTTTTCCCTTGTTTTTTTTATTGTTTTACTATTTTTATTTATTTATTTATTTATTTTTGGCTACATTATTGATAGATTCAGGATGCATTATACTAAAAAGGATAATAAATTTGTTACATTTCAAAAAGGTTGACAATGAAAAATTGAATTTTGCTTAAAATTAATGTTTGACTTCAAATTATAACAACATTATAATATAATTGGAACAAGCACTATAATGTTTGTTCTCTTCTTCCCAATAAAAAATAATAATAATATGGAAGAAGAAAGGAAATTATTATGAAAATAATTGTCCTGATTTTCGTTAATTTTAAAACAATAATAAAATGTATGTTAAGTTATATTTAATCATTCAACATCTATCAAAGTATGAAAAAGAAGTTAAAAAATTTAGGCTTCATTAAATAGATTTTATCATCATGCTTGTAACTCTGCCGGATGCAACCTTTTATTAGCCGGTGAGTAATGCAACAATATATCCAAATAAAAGAGTGGCCCTATAGTTCCTTTCCACTTTCTTTTTCTTGATTCGATTGCAGTCTGGAGTGGTTTTGATAGTTCGATAAATCCTATATTACTATTGCATAACAAACGTGACTTGATAATACAAATGCACAATATATATGCTGGATTCAACTTTTTATGAGTTGGACGAGCCACACAACAGGATGACACAAGTACAAGAGTGGGACCCTTATTTCCTTTTCACTTTCTCTTTCTCAAGTCGACTGCAACCTCTGAGTGCTTTTTGATGGTCCCCCTAATTCAGTCTTAATACTGCGTAACAAACGTGACTAGATAATATTAATGCATAAGATATTTGTTGGATTCAATTTTTAATGAGTTGGACGAGCAGTGCAACAAGCGACACAATTAAAAGAGTGGGCCCTACATTTCCTTAAGAGTGTGTTTGATTGACATGGAAAATATCACCTAGAAAAAAAATGTTTTCCATCTTTTGTGAAAAATAAAAACCACCTCTACCCAAGGAAAATGTTTTCCTTAAAAACAAGGAAAATTAGGTATATTTTCAAAAGTTGGAAAACGTTTTCCATGGAAAAAAAAATAGCAATCAAACACGTCAAGTAAGAATTTAGGTGGAAAACTGATATTTTCCATGGAAAATAAATGTAATCAAACACACTCTAATATTTTTTCTCGATTATTTTGCAGTGTTTAAACTACTCATTGATGGTCCCACCAATGTTGACTCAGTACTTCGTAATAAACGTAATTTAGTAATATTAACATTAATGAAACGTATATCTAATATTGTAGAAATCAACTTTTAATGAGCTGGTTGAGTGGCTTGACAAGAGACTCAATTACAAGATCGGGGCCTATATTTCCTTTTCATTTATTCTCGATGTGGTTAGAGTCTCGAAGTGCTTGTTGACGCTCCCACTAGCTCCATCTTAATATTGCATGACAAATGTGACTTCGAAGATGCTAATGCACATTGGACCTTACACCCCTCTCCTAATAAAATGTATGATAGACTTGACAGCAGTTAACAATTTTTACTTCGATATACTGTATATTAACCGCTAAAAAACGCACTCTATATACTCTCCGCTAAATTTGGCGGCACCAAAACCGCTACTTCAATGGCTCCTCTTTCTTCCTTACTGGATATAAATCTTTCTATAGATTACAGAAATTTTTCCTATTAAATAGATTATTCTCTACTATAAAAGGTCACTCATTTTCTTTTCTAGGTTGCCCTTTATTTTTTGAGAAATTAAGAAAATTCTTAGAATGGAAAAATCACACCATTTTTCATTGTCTGATCTCTTGTGTGGAGAAGACGATTCATGCTTGAATGAACGCGGTATCAAGGATTTGGGCTCTGTTTCTGAGTTTGATGATGAGTTTATAAAATTGTTAATTCAAAAGGAGAGCATTTTTCAATCGGATGGAAATGGTTTTTCAATCGAGAGTGAAGGAGACTGGTTGAAATGCGCTCGTTTGGATGCCATTAGATGGATTCTTGAGGTCTGTTTTCTATTTTTCTATCAGTAACCTTGACTAGTTGATAAATCTATAGTATGATTAATCGTCCAACGTTGGTGTTTTTATGCAGACAAGGGCCTTTTTTGGATTTCAATTTGATACAGCTTATCTTTCGATTATTTATTTAGACATCTTCTTATCAAGAAGATCCATTGATGTAAGTTTTTGCTTACTAGAATTGTTTTTTGGTTTATGATTTAGATATCTATTTAAATGGGATTTTGGAATTTTGTTGATGTTAACAGGATCCTAAATTGTGGGCTATTAGATTATTGTCAGTTGCATGTTTATCAGTGGCTGCAAAAATGGAGGAATGTATAGTACCAGCATTATCCGAATATCATGTAGATGAATTTAATTTTGAAAGGAATGCGATTAAGAAAATGGAGTTGTTGGTTTTAAGTACTTTGAAATGGAAAATGAGTTTAATTACTCCGTTTGCTTATCTCGATTATTTCTCTGCGAAATTCTCTGGTGAATTAAGGTGCGACGAACTGTTAAAAAGAGCCGTTGAATTGATCATCGATGTAATTAAAGGTAAGTTGTCGCGTAATGATAGTTTGAATTCGGATTTAATTCGCATTTAGTGAACTTGCTTATGAATTTATAGTTACGCGATGCAGAAGTTAATGTGGGGGAATATCGGCCGTCCATTATTGCAGCAACCGCGGTTTTAGCATCGCATGATTATGCATTAATGGAAAAGGATGTGGAGATTAAGATGAATGTTATTCCATCATGGGAGTCCCTTGAGAAAGTGAGTCTCATTTGTTGTGTAATTTGGCTGTTTCTTGTTAGTATGTGAATAATTAAGTGGTTTGAATTGATTTTTTTCATCTGATTATGCATATCAACAGGAGGATTTGTTTTCGTGTTACAATCTATTGCGAACATTCAAGTTCGCGAAGTCCAATACCCCCAACTCTGTGATTTTACCGAATTTATCATCGAGTCAATCAAGCTCTGATCATGCTTCCGAGAATTCTTCAATCACTTCGACTGTTGGCGTGAAGAGAAGACTTTCATATCCTGATGGTGATCGATGCTGTCCTCCTCGCCCCTAGTTGGTGTGAGGTATTGAATTTTGAAGATAAGATTGGATTTTCAGCTTTAATGAAAATTAAAAATACCAACATATGGTATTATTTGGAGTTGATGATTGGCTCCATTATCAGCATTAAGCAAATGTCAAAGGTATGACAGCAAAACAAATAGAAAAAGGAGGGATTTGCATAAAGAAAGGGAAATATATCTTTCTCGAATCCAATTGAAGTTTGTTGTTAGTTTTTTCGGTAGTCGGGGTTTCACGAACTCTTCTAGTGATCCTCCCCTTTCCGAATTTTTTTTTTTTTTTCCTTTAATTTCCGACATTATTAGTAATACATATCATGCATGTTTATGCACCATTGGATTGCCATTTGCTCTAAATTTTGATTGGAGTTTGAGATTCTATTTATTCTCTTCAATCCCATAGGGGTGGGATTTTTTGAATTTGAATTTGGCTCGATATTTCGTTGTATTCTAGTACAATGTCTTTGTGTTTGAACCTCTATGCTCCAAGCCATGCCTACACTACACATAGGAATGGTGAATGCATGATTGGGTGGTGTATGGCAGACCTTACTGAATGATTCTTGATAGTTTATCTCGTCGGTGTTTGTTCAAGAATTTTAAACCCCAGATTCTTGATTCATGGTGAAAAATAGAGGCTTATCCTTTCACATGCTTGGCTCCATTGCATAGTTTGTCCAGTTTATCAATGTACTGCATTGGCTCTCACTTTACATTAATTACCATGGTCTCATTCTTGGCAGTCCAAGGGTCATGTCTAGTGGTCCAGCAGTTATTATGCCCCAAAAATACAAAGATCCTGTCAAGAATTTAGATAGTGCAAGTTTGTCTTAGTTAAAAAGAAGTAGGATAACTAATTGTATGCCAGGACAATGTAAGAATTGACTTGTTCGTACTATAAAACATCCACACATAATTGTACAGAAAATGTCACGATTTTAGCCTCATTTGACAAATTTATAAATAGCTTATAGATATGAATAACAATAAGTCCCATGAAATATGTGGATAATAATGAGCAGTGATTATGAAAGCATATGAAATTATCCACACTCAAGAAAACACTAGAGAACGGAATAAACTTATCACGAAGTACAATGGAATAAAAAGAGGTATGCTAGGGATGACGATCAGGCTAGCTGGCTCAGGCCATCCGTAGCTCACCCGAAAAAAGCCTAAGCCAGCCCGGCTCAAGGGTTGGGCGAGCCCCATTTTGGGGACTTGGCTCGAGCCACACGGGCCGACCCGTTTAAAAAAATGGAAGGAACTATATTTGCTGCCTGTTTGGTGCCTTAATCGGCAACTTTATAAAGCCAGTAGCCGAAAGTTCCAGTTGAGCTTTAATTTTTTGGTCAAGCTTTTACTCGACTCGGTTCGAGCCAAAAAAATTCCGTTTTCAAAAAACTCGAGCCGACTCGATTCAGCTCACTTCGTTGATACCCCTAAATATACATGATAGGTTTCAAATTTTTCACGAGTACAATGGAATAAAAAGAGTTATACACGATAGGTTTAAAAATTTTCACACGGATTTCTAATGTTATGAGAGGCAGAGAGGACCTTACGAGCCTCGGGCGCTGCACTTTTCTTCACCGGCTGTCCTACCTTGATTTGATGGACAATTGCAAACTATTGGCCACCGATATACTGGATTTGATTAATCCTTTATTTGACTTCCTTTATATTTGTCTCAATAAAGTCTCAGTGAAATATTTCAATTGTCTTTTCCACAAAGTAAAATTAAAGTACAAAAGTGCAAGGACAATCCATTATAACTCGATCTACTTACCTGTAGATGTTTCAAATGCTGAGCGAGAGAGAACTATGGCCTTAGATGGTGATGACAAAGTACTTTACCCCTATTCCAACATTTATTTTATGTTTGTATATTAAAATATTTTTTCAAAGTGATAATATTAAAAAATTAAAGTTTGAAAAGATATTTTTCATTCCCACATTGCATAGGAATACGATTCAAGTATTGCTCACTTCTCCACTATTCATTTACCCTCTTTATAAATATCCTTGTCTATGAATACCTTGCTAGACATAAGCTCCCACCACGAAATTCTCGACTGGAAGGGTTGTCACGTCCCACCTGATTTGTTGCCATCCTACCATACAACATCTCCAATAGGTCCATGCAATGTTATAAAACTTGGATTGGACCAATCGATTTGGTCCGAAAATCGTTGAGTCAATTTCAATCAAAGCTTGGTAGAATCGTTGAGTTTGAATATAATTCAAACAGGCTCTATCCAAATCAATGTTTTAAATATCAATCTGATCACAATCCGAAAAAGAGAAAGGGTCAAGAGTAAAAGGGTGAAATCGGGAATCACCCAATGTTTTAAAATAAAAATAATAAATTTACAAAAAATTAAAAAAAAATGAAAAGTATATTTTTTGAACAAGAAATACATCAACCACTCAAAACGTGCAATTAACAAAAATAATCAAATACTATCAACAAAACAGTGTGTTGTTCAGTCCAATTATGTGATGTAAAACAAGTTCATAAGTTTAAGTAAACAACAACGATGATGATAATGATGATGATGATGATGATGATGATGATGATAATGATAATGAATGTTTTAAAATTCTTTAGATTTTAAAATAGATAAGTTGTATAAACTGGATGCGGGTGGCGGGTTTAAGAAAACCCAGGTAGGCCATCGATTTTAAATGCAATTTTAAATTAAAGGTTCTCAAGGCCTAATCGACTCGATTTTTTTAGCCTGATTCCTCGATTCTCCCGATTGGACCAATCGGGCTGGGTTGATTTTTAACAACATTGATACAAATCAGTAAACTGTCAATTTTATTTAAGTAAAAGAGGAAATTACAGAATTCCCAGTATTTGAAAATCATAGTCCAAAAGTTGGGCCAGAACGTTTTTTATTCAAATTCTGGTTTTGAAAATATTAAATATTCCCTCACTTATATCAAACCCTAACTCAGTTCTCTTTCTCTCTAAACACACACACGACAATCACTTCTCTCCTTCTCTCGGCGCCGCTTCTCTTCTTCCTAATCTCTCTTCTCTCTCGATAGTGGTGTCGCCGGCCTTGATATGAGCAGCGCTTTTAGATCTTCGACCCCGATTTTGGGCTGCTCTGCCTGCGGCTTGAGCTCCGATGTTGCAGCGGTGGTGGAGGTCTATTCTAGTGTGCGCGACATTGACTGCCCTTCGAGCGTCGGTGATAGATGTGGTGTTGTGCCCGTTGAGATCTCTCAGCAGCGTCATCGGTGAAGTTGATTCCAATAGGCAACGCTGTCGCTGCAAAGCTATTTCCGTCGCCTTGCAGTGCGAGGCAATATGTTCAACTCGTGGACTGAGCACGCTGCGAAGCGCCGTTTCACTTCGTCCTGCAGGCGCAAGAGATAGTTCGCGCAGGCTTGTACTGAGACTTGCTGTATTCGAGTCCCTTATGCGGTCATATTGTGGTAGAATGGGATCTAGATTAGGTGTGGTGTGATGCAAGTGTCGATTGGATGGTGGTGATTTGTGGTCAAGATTGGTGCTGAATCGAGACCGATATAGTGGGGTTTTTGGAATCTGTGACCAACTATTTAGTCATTTGTAACCAACTGTTTCGCTGATTTGTCACCAAAATTAGGTGTTTGTGGCTAAAAATAAACTGTGACCTATGTGATCCATATATAAAATGTGATTTATAATTTGAATGATTTATGACCTAAAACAAATCTGTAACCTACAAAAAATTTAATTTGTGACATCAAAATAATGTATGACCAATTAATTTGATGATATGTGACCAGTGAATAAATATGTGACCATTAATTGTATAACAGTGATTTTATTATATATAACTAATAAATATTTTTAATTAATTACACATACTTGAATTTTGAACTTTTAAACTATTGACTTGACTTTTAAATTGGTGTAAACAATACACTTGAAATGTGAATTTTTTCCTAAGTAAAATACAATTACAATTGGTAGGAATTGGACCTGGGTCAACAATGTGAAAACTTTGGTTGCTTTCCAGGATGGCGAATAAAATAATTATAACATGTTGTAAGAAAAAATCTATGCCCCTGTTTGACAACTATTATTTGAGATATATTCATTTTCAACCACACATTCATACAATAAAAATATTTTGTACGCAAATTCAAAACTTTTTAACTTTTTTACAATACATTTTCTTAAAAATTACTATTCAAAATATTATTTATCCCAAATAATGATTGTCAAACCGGGACCATATATCATATCATTTTATGACATATAATTAGAACCAGAAAATGCAATTTTTCATTTTCTTTTTTGTATTTTATGAAGAATTCAAGAAATAGCTTCATGATCTCATCTTGAACAGACATTTTAGTAAAACATATGTTTTAATTAAGTTTTTGGTTCAACAATGACATGTCAGTTAAACCAGTAACCCGTCAATTGACTCAATGACTTGTGGCAACATTCGAGTTGGTTCTAACAAATGTGGGCTTCTGGAAATATTTGGCTCATCAGTATAAGTAGATATTATTTAGAAAAAGAGTAATGTTATTTAGCTTCACGAGTATTGTTATTTAGTATCATTTGTATTAAAACATATTTTTAGGTGGCACTAATGTCATATTAAATGAAAGATAAATTTATAAGAGTCACTCAATTCTACCATTGATTGAATCTATCATACAGTATCACCTAAACTCCTAAACTGGTATTATAAAACAAGTGATGCTGAATAACGTTTTTCATTAAATAAAAAAAAACACGCTTACCAATGACACTAACTGGTTACCTCTTCTAATTATTTTGGAAGAAATGAGATTCCTCTCATTCCCTCTCTCTCTCTAGAACTCAAAATCTCAAATTTCATCTTGTCTCTTGGCCCAACAAAAGAATTGTTGTAAGAAAAATAAAATCTATGGAAAAATATAGGGGTTAAGATCATCATTCCCCTCATTCTCTTGCTAGGGTTGAATCCAGCACGTGCTCATTTGGGCACTTGCTGAGCCCAAGCTTGGCTCGAAATCCATTGACATATATACTCAATTAGTTCATACGCTCGTGGGACAATGGATTGAGCTGAACAGGCCTACGAGTCACACGCTATTTTTTATTAAAGAAATAATTTTTTTGAAAATTCTCCTCCTTTTTGGGGCTTGTGATCGATTACTTTTAACATATGCAGAGTTAAAACAGTAACAAACTGTTATGATATAATTTTTTTTAAATAAGTGAATTATACTAAGAAATTTAATGTGCACAATGACAAATTAAAATGAACTCACGTATCATTTACCTGGTCAACAAGTATTTTATCATATTTATCTTAGATTCAGAAATACGTCTTCCTAATTCCTTAAATACATTAAACTCTCCACCGTCTTTTTTTAGTGTTGATCTGTACAAACACAAAATCTTGCAACATGTACTAAAAATTTAGTAAGTCTTGGATATTGACGCTCGTTTGTTCTCAAAAAATTCGTAACAAATTTTTTTTGTAGTTGTCAATTCTAAATACTATGCATTTCATGAGCAAAATATCTAGTTATTCTAATGATATTTCACATACACTATGTTCAATCTACTTTAGTCGAGGAAGAAGAAATACATGCATATGTATTAATTTTATTAGTACTAACCATTGTTAATAATACTAACTTGGGATCTTCAACATCGGGATCGATTTCGACTTCTTGTGACTATGTATTAGAGCTAGGCATTGGTACAAGCAGTTGTTGAGAATTTCTATCGAATTTTTGGACATACGTCTCTTTCATTTCACATAAACTATGCTCTATATTAGCATATTTTTAGCCCTTGTTCAATTCTCCTTATTTCAAACTCATTTTTCTTCAAATAAAATATTTTTTTTCGTACATGGATTGGAGATACTCTTATGAACTTGTTGAAGTGTGGCTTATTCACTATGCTAAGAGGACACTCACCACTGCGCCACTGACTACGAATATTATCATACCTGCATGACCTCCTGTGAGTAGATCGAGGTGGTAGCCGAACTAAAACTTGTAACAGAAGAACCAAATTAGAGTTGAGTCTGACTAGGATCCAAAGCACCATATTGGACAGAAATTTTTTAAAATAAAAAAGTAAAGAAAAAATTCGTATTTACATCATTATAAAATAAAATGTCAAATATAGGAGAGAAAAAAAAATAGGACTTACATCGTTCCATTTTCTGACTTTGGTTTTGAGTTGTGTTGCACCAATTCAATATTATTGCAATGTTGATTTTGTAATATCTCTGTGTTCGTCAAATATGATATGTGAATTTCAGATTTCAAATGAGGTTATATATAAAATTCTTGATTTTAGTAATGCACACAGTTAGAAAAATGGGTGAATCATTGAATAATATTATGCCAACAGTAACATGTTTTTATGTATTGCAGAAAAATGGTGAATCATGGAATATTTATGGATGCTGTAAATGTTTTTTTTTTTTTTTTTTTTTTTTTTTTTTTTTTTTAAAAATTTTTTTTTTTTTTTTTTTTTTGTGCTTTTATGTATTGCAGAATGAGGTTTGAAGGTTATTTGTCTGTGGGGGTGATTTGTGATTTTCTGGATTAGGGGATTCGGGATTTTGATTTTATTTGAATATGGTTTTATGAAATTCTGTGTTTTCTTCGATAAAGACTACAATTTTGGGATTTCAACAAAATAAAATTGGGACTTATTTGGTGGAGTAATAGAAGCTATCCAATAAAATCAATTTATATATAGTTGTTCATTGTTTTTGGTTTTTACTTGGTAAAATGCAGTATTAGTGGAATAAAAAATGTTGGAATATATTATATGAATTTTTATTTTAAAATGGGCAATAAATGTAATTTCCACAAAAAGTAATATTTTGGCCTAAATTTAGAAATAGCCTACTATCCACTTTCTCTAATATTTGCCCACTTCTAAATGGACCAACTTTTACAATTAGCTTACTTCCAAATCTCTTGCTCAAAACAGTAGAACTTCTTTCAAAATTTAAGAAGGCAAAGAACAACCTTATTTATGTTGTAGTAGTCCAAAGAAATAAAACCAAATGAAGGAAAAAATTGGATTAATTGATGTTTTGACCTCTTCACATCAGAAATCATATCCATGTTAGTAGGCTTACGAGCAATAAAATAATCTAATGAAACTAACTATGCATATAAAATATGGGTGAGGGACAAAAAAATATTGAAAATCTTAAAAGTAATTCAAATTTAAGTTTTTGTATGTTTTACTTATTAACTATACTTACAAGTTAAAAAATACTTGTTGACCGTGAAATAAATGTTATTATCAAAATAGGAAATTTGCTCTATATTTAATTTTATCTGTGGAAAAATATTTCTTAATAATTTATTTATTTATAAGTTAACATTATTGAAATTATATTATTGAAGTAAGTGAAATAAATCCAATTTCTTTAAACTCTCAATATTCTAGGTCAATTTTTTCGTACTTTAGGTGGAATTCAAATGTGTTGACATAGAAAACCAATGTCCATATTAGATAATATTTTTTAGAATGATGTACTTTGACTAAAAAATTTTAATAACTGGAATGACTTATTGTTCTTTTTAGACCATGAGTCTCACAATGGTGAAAATAGGTTTTTCTTAATTTTTTGTTAGTGGGTATACATTATTTATTCATATCTATTATGCTTTCGCACATTTTTATATTTCCTAGGGAGGTGTCTTGATTTTTTTTTATTTGGCAAGAAAAGCTATGAAGATTTATTAAGACATCTCAAGGATTGAAATGCTTATACTTATTTTAGTATCTGACTCACTCTGTCATTGTCATAATTTTAGCTTTTTAAACTATATTTGGTGCGGCATGGAGCATCTCTTATGGCACGAGTTAATTGATTTTCTTATTTTTATTTTCACCCATCCCAACATTTTTTCCTGGCTCCGTCCCTGGATGAATCGTGCCGAAGTCGAATGTCCTTTTTTCAAGCTAATATTTCTTTACAATACTTGCATACTATTTTGTAATATGGCTTTCCATTTACTTGACTCGTGACCACCATGTTCCCAACACTTAAAAGTTTATTTCTTGATTTGTTGTTTATTGTATGAAAGTAGTGTATGCATTCTTTCCTCTTCGTTGTCATCTAAATTAATTGGATCAATGTTCCTATGTACAAATTCATTACCTAAATCGGAGAGAATTAAAATGTTATTAAGACCAGTAAAGTCGTGATCTAATAATGGAGACGAAGCAAAGCGATAGCACTTTCTAGCATGTTGTAGAGGCAACATACATTTCTTCAAACTCGTTAGTCTTCAAAAAACCAATGTGATCCATTTAGAATTGGAATGAATGCAATTATGTGACAAAATTTAGCCCTTATTTGATCCCCATTTTTTTTTTTACAATTTTACTTCATGTATAGTAGCCCATACAGCATATCATATAGTGCAGAGGTGGAAATAAAAAAAAAAAAAGCTGAGAAACTGATTTTCTTGTAAGTGAGCCGGGCTGAAACAAAATCCCTCTTCCCAAGACCCCAACTCAATTCCACTTTCCCATTACAAAAAAACCCATCTCCTGAAAACGCTGCAGCGACAAAATCGTCACTTCTCCTGAAAACGCTCCAGCCACAAAATCGTCACTTCCGATCGACGCGTCAACCATTAGACAATACTTTTTCCCTCCCTGTCGGCTAGAGACCATTGAATACTCGCACACTTAGGTAAGAGAAAGCGAAGGAAGCAACGATGTCGTTTTCGGCCTTTTTATATTATTTTTTTTCTTAACGTAATAATTTCTTGTTTCGTCGTATGATGAAGATGAAATACGAGTTTTGGATCTTCTATCAACTGTAGTGTATGCCGAAAATAGTTTGATTGCACTGGGCTTGTCGTCTGAGAGTTACTGTGTATGAACAAAAATTTGGGGCTTTATGCTTTGTCGATCTTCTTTCAGTTTTATGTATAGGGGAAAAATTGAGTTTCGAAAATGTAGTTTGACAATGCTGGGCTCATTCAATTCTACTTCAGATTTACTGTGTGAGAGAAATAATTTTGAATTTTGCTTCAAATTTACTGTAGACGGTTCCTTATTCCAAAAGAATATTTCTTTATATAATCAAAATATTTTGATATAAGATTTTTGTTTTTGTATACATTACACAATCACATGAAGGAGGTGTATTCACAATTTCCTATGTTGCTGGATAAAAGAAAATGCTATAGTGTTGTTTTAAATTCTAAGCAGGTTGTTTAATGTGGTTGACTTGGGAATGTTTATTTATTGTGGTTCAAAGAAAATGCCTATTTTGTGAGAATGATATGTTTTCATGTTGATGTGATTGTTCAATGTGGTTGAAGTAGACTAGGTCGATGGCAGGCAAGAATCGGGGAATATTTATTGTTGTAGACAAAGGAGACATATGCTGCCAGAGTGCTCGAGAAAGAGAAGCTATCCAAATTGTGGTCTGGGCTTCATCAAATGGATGGAGGTCGAAAAGCACAATGACCATAAAGGACTATTGTTCCATTGTTGCACTTGCGACTGTAGGTATTTCAAGTGGTGTAACAAATCCCCTGATGAAAAGTGTCCATTGCATGATGATGGTGAATCAAGTGGCATCAGAAATGGAGGCGAACGGGTGGATGATTTGTCGCAAATATTAAAAATGCTCGCTAAGCTAACTGACGAAAAAGACTTGAAGACCTCGCTCAAAATAAATATGCGCAAAGGAAAACAAGATTTGGAGAATGAAACTGAATATGTCATGTATTCGGATGGTTTAGGATGGTGTATGACGAAAAAGACTCTTTCGAATTGTTGTGCAAGTGTTTATCTATGATATGCTGGTACTTATATGTAATCTGATTTTGGAAAAAATTGTGTTAATGTTTGACGAGCTTCTCAAGGTGTCAACTCTCCTGTATTTTGTCCGTAATCTTAATGAAGTACTTTTCTATTTCTTCCAGCCAATTATGTCAACTCTCAGTGTTCTCATTTCAGGTTCATCTTTTAGATTTATTGCACATTATTTTTTGTACCTATAACTTGTCATTACCAAATTATCAAATTGGTAATTTTTGTCATTACCTTCAATGCAATTTTTGTCTCTATTAATTGCAACTGAGCGTGGGCCAAAAAGAGATTCACTGGTAAAACAAGATGAAGACTACAACAGCATAGCACCAGCACATGATATGTGAGCATAATCTACAAAATGTAATACTAGAACAATAGCATGTAATCCATTATGCCCGGGGACATTGAAAAATGGAAAACCAAGCAACTCTACTAAGAAATTGACGGTTACATCTGCACTAAAGGAAATTTTACAAATAAATCCTTCAACATTTATCAATGTTGTTTAAACGACAACAGCAAGATAGCACCAACAGCATCTAATTCTATAAATCAATAACTACACAAGTACACTTTTTTCAAAAACCAAAAGAAAAAACATCTACAAGAAAATATCATTCGTTGACAACAAATTTTGAAAAAAAAATCATTTGCCGGCCTATTGAGTTACATTGTAGGAATTAAATAGTAGTCCCCTTGATGAACCAGCATATCAAGATTTCATTGCAATATCACTTTGCAGGATCTTGATGAGCCATCCCTGAACTCGGATTCTAAACAAGAGTAGAACGACCTCCAGCAATAGCACCATGTGGAATGGTATGGGGAGACTGGACATCCAATCTGCTATGTTGGTTGGTGAAGACAATGTCTAAAATGACGTTTAACATATTGTTATTGCAAGTACATTGGAGAACCATATGAAATTAACTGTTTGTAAGTAGAAAAATTACACCACTTACACCGTGAATTCCAAGAGGAAAAACACCCATTGCGGACAGTGTCATTCCCAATTGTGTTCCAACATTGTACAACAAATCGGGATAGGAGTATGGCATTGTATTACCTAACATAAACACGAAAATTTTGGACACATGCTAAATACATATTTAGGAACGTGCTAAATACACATTGGAAACCGTATACTCACCGGGATATTTGAACAGACACATTCGATGTTGATGCGGGAATAAAATTTGTAGATGCACTTGTTGTGTTAGTGCGTGACTTTCTTCGTCGCCCTACATGAAATGAAAATTTCATTAGAAACTTGCCTCCAATACATATGCCAATAATAAATAGTTATAGCCATGACTTGTGAATTTGAGAATTGTGTCATCATCGAATATTGTGTATGTGGCGAGGACTGAACGAATGGTGTGTTGGGTCGAAGATTGCTTTTCGTCGCTCTCGATCTCTGTCCTTTTGCTGGAAGTCGATGCTGCCTACATGACATGAGAATAATTGACATTTGCATTTTGTTCAAATGTGTGTATGACACATGATAAAAATGTGTGAAAGACAAACAACCTTTAAAAGAAAAACAACCTTTATTTTCTTCGAGCTCGAATCCAATGAGCTTTTATGATGAAATTTCTTCAGTGCACCCTTTCGTTTTGAATATTTAGGATCATGTATAGTACTGCTACCAGTGTCATGTGATGCTCTAGGCTGCGAACCTAAATGCAAACTAGGTTGCGAAATGCTATTACTTCCCCAATTCGCCTTCATAGACATCATATCTTTGGACTGCGATTGAATCCAATCTATTATCGCACGAGTTCGCTCTTCGTCATCGACAGCAATGTCTGCCAATGTTGTGAACACTTCACACATTTTATTATACCTCAATTGGCTAAGAGTGCTAACCAAACCGGCGTAATTCACAGCAACCCTTGGTGGGCTCTACTAGCATCTCGTCTCCATCTCCTCAATATTTACCTCTCCGGTAGTGATGTGATGCCATTATGCATCAACACTGATATGGCATGTTTACACAAAATACCACAAAACTCGATTAAGTAGCAACTGCAAATAACACTGCAATCCTCTGCCCGAAATGTGATTGAAAACTTTTTTTTCTAACATTTTCTTCGTAAATGACATCCTCCTCAACCTCATACAACTTCTCCGAACATATATCACTTGCAGATATCACAATGCAGTAGACCTTTCCAGTTATCTCATCTTGAAATTCCCGAAATTTCAAAATGGTATAAACAATCTGGAATTGTTTTTCCATTTTATATTTTGTTACGCAGGATACCATCTGTGAGTAAGTTTTGAAATCCGCTTGGAATTCCTTCTCAATTTTATTTCGTAATGTTCGTTCATATTGTTCGACGAACTGTTTCAATGATATCTTAGAATGCACATACCCATCGAAGAACGCATTCATACCCTAACTGCACTGAGTTGTTGACATCCTCGCCTAAAAAGTTGTTTTCAAATAATATGGCACCCAACGACCCCTATTCTCGAACAACCCAGACAACCAATCATTCTCATGTAAGTCATAGGTATCAAGCATAGCTTTCCAACCTTCTTCGAATTTTTCAACGACCCACGTATCATACACTAAGCTGTGTATAGACAAAAAAAAAATAAAAAAATGGAGCCCTTCTAAACGTGGTACCCAAACTTCTCCGACAACTTCTTCAATATATACCACAAACAGCATCTATGTCTCGTGTTTGGAAATACTATCGCAATTGCATTTTCCACATCCCAGTCTTGATCGGTATAGTTCCATTTGGTGCTTGACCATGCATACACTGCATCCATATCCTGAATAGCCAAACAAATGTATCTGTATCTTCATTTGCCAGCAAACCACATCCAAGGAGTGTTGATTGTCCATGATGATTTACTCCAATGGAGAGGGCAAAAGGCATGTCATATTTATTTGTGAGATAAGTGGTATCAAACGTCACTACATCCCCAAACTCCTTATATGATTGCCTACACCTCTTATCTGTCCAGAAGAGATTCATAAGCCTTTGATTCTTCATCTAAATCCATACAGAAGTAAAAACTCGGACACTATGCTTACATTTGTGAAAAATAGGACTGTATTATCGCGGCATCTCCTTCACCGAGTCTCAATCGCCTCACTCGTTCAACATAATTTCGATAATCCTTTTCCACCCAGGTCATGTTCTTATACCCACCCGCTTCAACAACTGCTGAGTTGTAACTTTTGTACAGAGGTATTCTAGTCATATTGTTCACTTCGAGCTTGCGTTTGACATTTGCACTCAATTCTCGATTGCAACGATATAATCTAGATTTTGAAGGACTAGTTTTATGATTGTGTTCGAGATCAACTGTGCAAATTTTTCATATTCCACAAATATCTGAAGAAGCAGTAAGTCTTACTTTGCAACCTGTCTGAATTGTTGGATGTGGCTTCAAAGAAACACCTGCATTACTGCTTCTTCGACCCTCACGACAACATGTCAACGTAACGTAATTCACTACTCCATCTTCTTCCTTTCTAGAATTCCTCCTAATCGGAAAACCTACGTCATATGCATACCTCTTATAAAACTCATACACCTTTTTCTCATCTTTGAACTTCATACCAACTTTAGGCACAATCACGCCATCTCCTCCTAAGATATCATCGTCTAATGTGACGACATTGCCTGTATTGTTGACGATATTCTCCGTATTGTTGTCATTTTTGGATTCTATTAAAACTTCATCGTCCAATACTTCCACAACTTCTTTTCCTACATCATATTAAATGACAATATGAATTTTGAGTATTGTTCACGGAAATCTTGCTTCAATAATATTAGAAATGAAACAAGATATTTGCCCGAGCAGTGAAAATACATAGGTTTCGAAACAATGCGACTTCAAAAAATTACAACGACATTACCTTTCTTGGTCATTCTGTCCATCCCTATACCACCAAGTTGTTTCCAGATTTTATACACATTGTCGACAATATAATCTTAATGGACACTAATTTAAAAAATAAAATAAAATAATAATAATTCGAACACAAACCCAACCCTGAATGAATTTAAGATCTTAAAAGGATAAAAGAAGAGATTTTTGACTGTGCTCTGGATAAAAGAAGAGATTTTCTAATTTTTCTTCCAGAAAATGTCAAATAATTACAGTGAAAATATTTACGTTAAACATCTACAGTGAAAATCTACAGCAGCATTTTGTGTCGAAATGGGTAATTTTCCTCATCAAAATAATTACCTCTCACAAGTGAAGTATATAAATCCCTGTCGGAAGAATCTAGTTTGATTGCGTGGTCGTGGTCTACTACAGCCGAAAGTCTTAGGTGAATCGGAAGGTTTCAAGCTTGGATTAACGAAGGAAGCATGTGGATGTAATTTTGGTGGAAAACAAGTTCTTACCATCAATTCCGTACTCAGTCCGCCGATTTTTCTCCGAATTTTGGTGGAAAATTTCGAAGGCTTTTCTCTAAATTTTATTTTTCTGAAAGCAAGGGACCCCTAAACCCGTTTAGACAAATATGGGCTATTTAAAATATTCAATAGTGTAAAAGGCAAGCGTTACTTTCCCACCAAATTAAGTGGTCATGTGACCAAAAAATTCAAAAGCCGTGCACAGCAACGCATAAGAGGCATTATTGTTTTTTTTTAAATACATTTTTTTCTCTTTTTTTCCAACCACACATTCTTTAATAAAATAATATTACACGAAAATCCAAAAAATTCCTTTATTTTTAACAACCAATTCTCCATCAATCTACTATTTTAAAATGAATTATAATCTAAAATGGGGCTCAAATGGTAGTAAATTGAATTGCACAATAAAAAGAATTAATTTGTAGAATGTAGATAGAATTGCAATGTATAGAATTTGAAATATTATAATTGAATGAAGAACTTAAAATGTGCAGACGCGTGGAAAAACGAGGGACGGGTATTTATAAGAACAGAATTATGAAAATAGAAAAAATACAAAAAAAATTAAAATATTCGACCGTTAGCCAACGTTTTAAAATCAATCAAAAAATTGACTAAGGGCAATTTTACATGACCGTTTAGTTACATACAAATAAATCCATGAGCTTGGTTCGTAGGCCTGGCCTATGAGTCACAAACATGAATGGCTTGTCAATTAATCCATGACTCGAGCCTAGACGAGTCCCTCGGTCCATTTGTCATCCATAAGTACACGATATATTGATTTTAAAAGTATGATTTCAATTATTGACCAATTAAATTTTGACACTGGGTCGGCATATTGCAGTAAGAGTTTACGTGCTTCATTTTGGGGTCCTTTTTACAATGGCCCTAGACACAACAGTTGTAAATCAATTTTGGACTGGACCGTCCATGTAGTAAGTCCTTGTTTAGTAAGGATTAAAATAAATTTTTGATAGATTTTGATATAAATTGATGAAATGTATTATTGAAAAGTTGTAGGTCTCATGAAATATGTGATTAAAATTATATAAACACTTTAACTTAGATTAAAATCTAGATCTCTATCTAGCCCTTCTTTTAATCCCAATTCTATTAGATTTTGATAGTTCGATCAGGATTTTCGTAATAAAATAATTGACTCAATATAATTATCATTTGACTAGGTATAGAAAGGTAGGAGTGCATTTTATTTATCGATTATTTTACTCTCTACATTTCTAGCAAAATGACATGATTGCCCTCAATGATTATGGCTCTGTTTGGGAGCGATTTTGAGAATTGATTTTTTGATCGTTAGAATAGAAATGGGGGCCACCTATGAGAAAATAAGTTAAACTTTACGGTTAGAATAGTGAAATAACAATAAAAAAATCAACTTTTTTGGGGTGAAAAATCACTCCCAAATACCCTCTATATACTTGTCCAACAATGAATGGCAAAAATGACGATTGGTAAAGTGTAATTACATTTGACCTATCAATTGTTGCGGATGTGTAGGGCGTAGTAGAAATGAGGCTCATTTCAAAGGTAACAAAAATCAATTATTTATGAAATAGAAGAGCCCCCAAACAGAGGCTAGATTTTAATCTGTACCAAATTGAATCTAAATATTATTTTTCTATTATAATAGTAACACATAGATGGCAATCTACACAAGCCATTGGAGATGCTCTTAGGGTCTACTTGAGAGTTTCGACGTATCAGTTATGAGCATTTTTTAAAGTATTGATTATGAGCGTGTATGAGCATATCTATTTTGAGTGGGGTTAGTAGGAATTTTTAATATTGTCCAATCTATGTTTGGGAATTTATTATCCACATGTTCAGAAAGTATTTTAAAAGAATAAAATTACATAAAATTTTTAGTTTATCGTTTCTTGGCCCTTGTTTGATAGCCATTTTTTTTTGGAAAAATATTGTTTTGGATATTGAATTTTTGGAAAATGTGTGGTTAAAAAGTAGGATAAAATTTTGACTTTAAGTGTAGAATATTTTATTGTGAATGTGTGGTTGAAAAATGATTATTTAGAAAGAATAGTTTTGAATGAATTAGGGACAAATTATAATGATTTTTTTTACTCATAAATGATATTTTACTTATGGGCAATTTTTTTATGTATAAGTGACTATTTCTTAAAAAACTAAATAAAGTTAAATATTTGCTTAAAATTGTAAGCTAATATTATTTTACTTATAAGTAAATTTTACAATTATAAGTTAATTTCACAGTTATAAATAATTTAGGTGAATTTTTTTACTTATAAATAATTTTTTATATTTTATTTATAAGTATTTTTTTATATTTTATTTATAAGTGATTCTTTTTCTTATCCTTAGAGAGGCCTACCTACTTCCAGCCATACATTTCCTAAAATAGAATTGACCGCCAAAATGGAATTCAAAAAATTCAAAATCTTCAAAACGACAGACGAATCTCAACCTCCAATTCCGCAGTCAAAACCCTTTCCGGACACTATCTTTCGTCCAACCAACGCAAAGCAACCTCAGATAGAACCTAACGGTAAATAACATACCATTCGTGCAGTTCCGCCCGAAATATTACTCTCTTCAATGGAGAAAAAGCTCCGATCATCACTCCAAAGCTCCGGCGAAGAATTCCTCTTAGCCGCCGCCAAACTACCTTTCAAATCTTCAAAACCCATTCTCAAGACCCTAATTAATTCCCAAATTAATCACTCTAATGGCATTTCCACTCTCCCTGTTGCACTTCACAACTTCATTTCACAAACAATTTCTCTTTTTAAAAACCCATCTAATTCCGATTTCACAGCCTCCCCAAAAACCCCCCCTGCGAAGCGTCGAAGATCCCTTAGACATAAGACAAAGTACGACGATGTCGCGGTTTCACCCACTGAAGACTGTGAAAATTTGCGACGAACTGCTGTTGAAAAGCTCCAGATTTATGCATACATTTTGCAACTTTGTGTGTTTCATCCGAAAAATTTATTTTCTGCTTCTGATTTATTGGCTGCGGCACAGGAGTTGCATGATAATTTAATTTTGTTTGAGTCAGATCCGGTTTTGCTGTCGGAAATTGCGAATTTATGTGAAGAGTGGTGGAAGGGGATTATATTGGGGAAGGAAAATCTGATTTCTCAATCGTTGCCTGTTATTTTAACAAGGTCGTTGACTTTGAAGAAGAAGGTGGATGTTCATAGAGTTTATACGCTTCGGGAGGCATTCACGTTGTTTGATTTTGAAGACGAGAGCATTGAGGATTTGAAGAATTTGTTGATTCGCTGTGTAATCTCGCCTTTGTATATGAAAACGGAGGATGGGAAGAAATTTATAGCGTTTTTGTTCGGTCTGAGTGGGCAGCTGGCTAAGGAGGTGTTTGCTATGATGAAGTCACAGATTCCGTTTGGGCGTAAATCAATGCTTGAGGGGTATGGGGAGATTATATTTAGAGCATGGAAGGCAGTTGAAGGCGAATGCAAGGATGAGATTGAGAATGTATTTCTACAAGAGCTGCTTGAGGGTGCCATACATGCCAGGTCAGAGGTATTTTCTGCGTCTATTAGGAAAGTTTTAGGGGGGTTTGTTAATCAGCGGACTGTTGAGGGAGTTGAGAAACTCATCTTTCGTCTTGCTGAGCCAGTGATCTTTCGGTCACTTCAGGTACTAGCTTCTGGTTCACATTTTTAGTTGAATTAGAATGTAGTTCATGACAATCCATTCTTTTCTACCATTGCTAAATTTTTAGTACATCATTATGCTGAAAATTTTTATCTAGATTAAAAAGCATCATGCATTTAAGGGATTAAATATGAAATTACTATTAGGTTTCACATGTTAGAATCTGAAAACCTGGGACGGTGGCAGTGATGGTGTTTCTGGAGATTATTGAACTGCAGTTCCTATTCTTGATAGAATATGAAGCAGGAAAGCAAAAAGTTCGTACGTGGTAATTCGAAGAGAATATTTCTTGGTAACTTGTGTCTTTTTGTTGTGTAAAAGCTTGACATGCTGGTTGGACAGAACAATGCATAGCATAGAAGTTAACCAGGGCTCCTTTATTAGTTAAAACTGAGAAAATAAATGATGGAAAAATATTACTTTCCCACGTATGTCTGTGCAATAATGCAACTAATCAACGGTGGATCATGATTCTTGCATTGTTTGGTTCGCAAGTACTCATGGTTGAATTAAGCATGTCCGTGATTGTAAATTCTTGGAAAATGCAAGACACATGAATTCGGTGCCTAAAATTCTGTCTGTCTACTCAATTTTCAGTTTTGGCCTT